AGTTTTCTTAGGTGACTTCGGTTATCTAAGATTTAATTAACTATAGGGGCTTGCCCTTATAGGAAGCTTGTCTGAACCCAGCTTAATATAAACCTTATTTAATTCTTCGTATTAAATAGGGGAACTTGTTGGCAAATAAAACAGTTTCCCAGACCAAACGGATGTCATATATTTCTTAGATTTTTTTTATTTAGCCTCATCCTCAAATCTTGTGTTTATCCTTCAGGATAGATATAGGGTTTGAGGTATAGTGCACTTTCATTTAAACTATGAAAAGCATGGGGTCAGTTTGATTTCATATTTTTCTAAAACTAAATATATATGTAAATTAAAACGTCCTTCCGAAGCGGGCAACAGGATTTCGATTCCGATGACCAACAGCTTCTTACGGGCAACACTCCTCCAACCAAAAATAGCGCCGACAGGGTGGGAAGATGAAGAAGCATGTCGTCATTAGCTTCATGACTGCTCCCTGGAATGAAGAGTGTTGTAGTGAGATGCTTCGTTGTCATTAATATTGTGTCTGGTAACCATATAGTAAGCCTAGTAAGTACTTTAGTAGTGGGATTGAAGTCTCCCATAGACGACACCAAACAAATGCATGCTAGAAAATTTGTGTCGGCAGAGTAATGAATTGTTATTTTAACATTGCATGAGAATTCAACACATACTCAGATACGAAAAAACAACTAGTAGTGATTTCAATTACGCGGAAAGCTCATAAAGGCAAAAAACTATGGGGACTAGCCCAACTAAAAAAATTAACTATAAGCTGGATATTACATGTACAGTCCCTTGTCTCACTGGTGAGAAATGGTTAAACACTCTTCGAAGTTACAACTTCAGTGCACAAAAACTTATAAGAAGTGAGTGGCCGATGGAAATCGGTGGAGGCCGACAGGTGGTGGTTGACGGTGGTCGGCGATGGTCAAAGGCGGTTGACAATAGTTGACTGTGGTGGACGGTGGTCGACAGTGATCAATGGGGGTCGGCAGTGGTCGACGGTGACTGGAGTGATGTTGGAATTTAGCTCCTCAAAACTTCAAGCTCTTCCTTCAAGCTCTTCTTCATACGGCGATGGTCAAAGGCGGTGACTGGAGTGATGTTGGAATGCAGGACTTTATTTACTGTGTTCTGGGTGCAATTAATACAAGAATATAAACCATTTTGATCGGATGGTTTAACAAGCTTTCTTCGATCAAACGACATTTGATGGACATTTGAGTGTCTTAACAATTTTAGAATTAAGCAATCTTCGGCTCGTAGGATTCGTCTTGTTGAGACGCTCGATTGGACTATAGTCTTGCTAGATTCAACATTCGTTTGCCTGTCAAAATATGTCTGAAAAACTTTCAAAGGTGGTTTAATGACTTGATCAGATTTTGCTTTGATTCGAATTGGACTAATTTTGATATCATTGGGTCCGTCTCATCGAGCCGGTCAGTTTGTATATAAGTTTCCTGAAATCGGAGCTCTGGATGACTCTTAATTGAAATTTGAAAGTTTTTTATTCAAAAGATTACCTCAAGATTCATTTCATTCCTCAACATTCATGCCGAATGATAAAAATTTGTTGGTGGCGCATCTATACCTTCTACAAGCTTTACATTTCCACAATTTTCTCACTGAACCTAACAAATTTTACTATTCTTTCGATAAAATGTTGGTAGGACTCACCACCTCTCCTTGTTATATTGCTCTACTTATCTTCTTGAAGAACAACAAAAATTTTATTCATTCACGTTCATGAATTATTGGCCATCCAAAGGATTTACAGACTACATCAAAAAAAAAAAAAAAAAAAAAAAAAAAAAACAAACAAACCAACTTTTGCATTTATGATGAAACATGCCCAGAAGGAAAACAATAAAGAAATCACATGCCAACAAAAGCAAAGGTTCAAACTCTACTCCATACCTTGGAAACCAAAAAAAAAAAAAAAAAAAAAAAAAAAAAAAAAAAAACCAAAAGACCAAATATCATTGATAATTACAGAGTTTAACGAACAAGATATAAAAAAACACACCTGAGGACAACCACAGAAATGAATTAATAGGCAGACACAACAAAGAAATGAAAATCTTACTAGTCCTGCCTACCTAATTAAGCTAATGAAGACAAATCTCCCTTCATGCAAAAAGCCAAGAACACAAAGACTCATCAAAACTAGTATCTCCACCAACATCACAAAGCCAAGGCCACATATGATCATTCCCATCCTCCTCCCACAGCTTAGCCTCCAAACATTCCAAGTCCCATTTCAACATCTTCTCCATATCCGTCCTCACATTTCCTGACTCCTCCATACCCAATTCCACTTCCTTTTCAGCAGCACAATCCCTGCTTCTGCTCTCCATCATTTCATTTTCCTGCATGCTCCCTACTGCATCAACATCCCCATGGGGACCCAATACCTCCTCCAAGTCGAAGTCGAAATCCAAACTTAAGCTGCTGTTTTCTTTCTCTGTTAGAGTGGAGGAGGAAGAAGCATTGCAGAGGATGTTGTTGGTGTCATTCTGTACTTGTTTTTGGTCGTGGTCGTGACTGGGGTTGCTTTGGTCCATTGCGTTGCTGCCTGATACGACCACGTTAGAGTTCTTCAACATGGTGCGCCCGCCGCGGCGCTTGGCTGAGGAAGGTATGTTGCCGATATCGTAAATGAAAGTCTCGCTCTCGCCGTGCCGCCGGAAACAGTGGACGCGCCGGCTTAGGTGGGAGTTCCAGTAGTTTTTTATCTCGTTGTCGGTTCGGCCGGGGAGTTGACCGGCTATGATGGACCACCTGCAAGTATACTTCTTAATTAAAATTGAGATCAACCCTCGAATCAATGGCAGTAATTAAGCACTATAAAAATGTGCTTAAAAATAAGTATTAAGAATAACAGCATTAATTTTTAATAATTATTATTTTACTTTAATATATAGCTTATTAAAAAATTTGCATTTGTTGCTTCACATGGCCCATAATTACATTTACAGCACAATTAAATACACACTTAAATGCTGAGTTTTAAATCATGTACTTTAAGGCTCCAAACAATTATTACAATTTTATAAATCAGAATTTCAATTTTTTTTTCCTCATTAAAGAAAGAGTAAAAGTGGGCCTATGGATGATGGGTGATATAAAAAGAAAAACTATTACAACACCACCGGCAATCACAGCAAAGATATATGACAGTAGACCATATGTTTTTTTTTTTTTTTTTATAAATAGCTGTGATGGACGGTGGAGATCGGAATTGACTCAATTATAGTCTGTCTTCAATCTGACTAGACCGGACCTGACTTAATTATCTCATTTAATAATTGCATAATAATTAATTGAGTCATATTTGAATTAAATTTGAGTCAAATTTGAATTGACCGAGTCCTCACTATCAATTTAGGTCAATTTTTATTTGACGAGTCAACTCGAACCCGAGTAAAAAATGAAATAAGCTCCAAATTTCGTTCGCCAAATTTAAATTGATTCGACATGCCATTTAAAATCATTAGTTTTCCCCCAGTATTTATTACAAGTTTCCCAAAACTTTTAACTAGTTTCGAACTTCTATTTAACCCTCTGTTTTAGGAGAAAAATTTGCGTGCGTAAGAAATACGCAGCGCTGCGTATGTCACCTAGTTTATAGGGAGGATATTGTGGTTTATATCCATATTATACCCCCTGTAACTTCCCTATAACCTACCTGTAACCTACAAATAATCGTAAAACTTACTAGAATGTACAGATAAGTTACAAAGAAGTTACAGAAGTATAAAGCGAAATGTAACTCTGCGTACGTCTTAAATACACAAATTTTTATCCAGTTTACTGATGTTAAATAACGAAGAAAGCTCGTAAGGAATATTGTATATTACGAAGAAGATAAGCAGCAGAAAAGTCAGCATCCTGCAAATAAACTCTCCATGCATTATTTACCATCTTTTCATAGCTATACTCCTGAAGGGAATCTCTTGATTCTGAAAAATTCGCCCAAACAACAGAAAACAAAAAAATAGATTCTGAAAAATTAGCTAAGCGTCAGTTGTCGCATGTTCCCTGAATTAATTCTGTTTGCAGCATTGTTGGCCACTGCCTCGCCGACTCCTTTCCTAGACTTTCAATGAATGCACATCACGACAGTATTCGTTGGGAGGTACCCAATTTTATAAATAATTATGACAGCTTTATTGCTAATTAAAATAATTAAATAAAATAAAAGCACTGATATTTTAAATATTGTATGATTGGGGACACCTAATTAGTCCAATTGAATAATATTTTATAAGTTTTTGACAATATCAAAATCATTAACTAATGAATTTTGAAACTTCTTCAAAGATCTCTCTCGTAAGAATATTCGCACGTAGAATTACGTGTGGAGTCCAATGAAATAACCGCACTTGGAAGTGAAAAAAAAAAGACGGGCTGGTAACACATGAAATATTATATCCGTGTTATTCTGTGTTATTCAGAAATTATTATATGTTATTAATGTGTTATTGTGTTCTGAGAATATTTTTTATATTATAAGAACATAATAACAAGTCAATAACACTTGAATAAAACACAATAACACTTGAATAATACATCATAATACCTGAATAGTACGGGAGGGATATTCTCTTGTGTTACCAGATAAATTTTATTTTTTTTGTCACCGCCAGGTGACTTGTTTCATTGGACTCCTCACATAGAGTTACGTGCAAAGTCCTGATGCAATATTTTCTCCTCTCTCTCTCTCTCTATATATATAAATATGTAATCTCGTCTAAAAAATGCCATTCGACATATAATAGATATAATAGAAATGAAAAATTATGGCTTTATTGTTAAAATAATTTGCTTTTTAAAATTGTCATTCAAGGTGTATATTTTATGATTTATCACATCATATCCAATAAAAATATGATATATTTGCATAGATACCAGCTAATTTTTATGTATTATATATCAAACACCTTTAATGTAGATAGCGCACCGGTGCTGTCACATTAGTATTAAAGTACAAGTTACCATTTTTTATTATTTTTATGCCATGCTAAGAAATTAAATGTTAATAAATAAATTAGAAGTTAAATGCATATTTTCATTTTCATGCATATGTCCAAAACACCAAAATATGTTTGTTATATATATAAATAAGGAAATTTAGGTGTGGAATATGTCAATTCATAAAAATTATGTGCTACAAATGCAAATATCATTTAAAGTTTTGAAAAATGGAAAACATCTTTTCATGCAAAAGTTTTCAAACCAAAGTGTTATAAATGTGATTATCAAACTTGAATGTTAAATATGTAAATACATAAGAATTGTATGGTATGTATGCAAATTGTGTGATAAACATATAAATATGCCAAAAATAGAATGAAGGAGCTTAATATGTTTTAATATGATATTTTTATATTTGAAAATATGTGTGTCAAAAATTAACCTGGCATATTAAAAGAACTCAAACTTGACTCAAAAAATCTAGATTACGGTTGACACAAACATTTTTCGAGGTGGGTTCAAGTCTGAGAATTCAACATGTAAAAAATTAAAGTTGGGATCAGGTCCAACGTGAAATCCCTAACATGGCCTTAATAAACACGAAAAAGGTTTGATTATATATGTATATTATTTTAGTGAGTAA